TAACTATAAGTATGATGACTGTATACATGCACACCCACTACTTACTAAAGTTTTGACGTTTTCTTACACCTTATGATGAATGTGATGACAGAATTAAACTCAAGTAAGATCTTTTATCATATATCAACATCTTTTCCTGCAATCCTGTAGTTAGTAATGTCCTGCTGATAGGAGTAAACTATTACTAACGTGTCCTTATTTGTCTCTGAGTCTGCAGTTTTCACATGATTCACACACACTCTCTACTCTACTCTCCTGTTGAGTCTATTGTCTTGTCTCTGCAATCTTCATTTATTCTCCCCTGCACTTCCTCTCTCTCGACTGGTTCGACTCCCCTCCTGCGCCCCCTCCCCCACTTTTTTAAACCATCTGACTCACGTATATTCTTGTAATCAATGCCTTTGTAGAAAAAAAACAACCCTTTCCTGGCTTTATCAGTCTATCACCTCCTTACAGTAGAAAACAGCAAACTGTGCTGATGATGATTACAAAAAAAACAGGTCAAAACTAATTGCACTTCCTTCTCTTTTGAACCGCTGACCCTCCACTGGCTTTGTTTATCTTTGATTTGAGAGATTTTCTTCTGGTCTGATTCAATTTGGAGCATTATCCAGTCATTTAAGGAAATCTTTTGTGTTTTTCTCAGGCCGCTCACTCCACTATGCCAGCAAAAGATCTGTTTCAGTCTGTTACTTTTTGTTTAAACCAATAAATCAGTCAGATACAAGAAATGTAGATCAAGTGTGTGTTTCTGCGAGCAGTTTGGTCAGAGCAAAGTAACATGCTGACATGTACAGCTTGAGTGGGTAGTGCGCTCTAGTTAATCAGTTTCCGTAGTCAGTTACTGGACATCTGTGAGTCCACATCCACTTCTTTCTGGTTTTTCATCTCTATCTCTCTCTCTCTTTATATACACACATGCACGCGAGCACACACACACACAGACACACACACACACACCCCTACTGGGGCATTGGCATAAGTCCCAGAACTTCCCATCCAATGCCCAACAGCACAGGTTTGTAAAGCACACACAAAGACACACAAATGTACGGCACAGCACAAAATAAAAGCAGAGACATGTGGCATTTAAGTCTTTGGTGATTTTTAAATATATATATATAGAAGCAGTAACCTCCTCTTTGTCTACATTGGTTTCTCTTAATGAAGACCTAGTCTTTGTTGCATGCATCAAAATCTTTACTGCTTCAATCGAGGACCATGCGCTTAGTCATGTGCACCATTCATGTATATATGGGTGGAGTATGAATGGACTCCTATACATATTATTGGTATATCTGGTAAATGCATTGTCTCCTCAGTTGCAAAGGTTGGGATTCGTCATAGCTTATTATTAATACCTTCTAGTCCAGCGGTCCCCAACCTTTTTT